TTCATGGTATAGAGTGCTCAGTGCTCTTCTCAGAGCAGATTCTGCTACCTTATAAACTGCTGTCTCACTGAGTCCAGTCCCACACACCTCCATCCCATCCTATCCCCTACCTTGCCTTCCAAAAGTTCCAAATGCCTTTGGGCAAGAACCTGGCACCTATGGATCCTCTTTTCACTTACGTGGGCGAGAGCTTAGGAGCCCCTCCCACTCTGAAGAACAAATGGCTGGAGAGACATCTTGCTTCATTAGTTTCTGGAAAACAGTGGCTATACCTTTGCCAGAAGACGGTTAGAGCTGACCTTTGTAAGCAACCACCAAATGATCTATCTTGCTGGCCCCAACAGTCACCTCTACTTCTTGGTAACACTCCTCACCTCTCCTGACTCCAAGTATATCCTCCTCAAGCTTGGAGGTGGAAACTACAGGGGTCAAGGAGGCTTTCTGTGACTCTAGGCAGCCAACAACCCAGAACGCAGCATCTGTCTGAGTTTAAGATCTAAGCAGAAGTGTCTGTCTCTGAGGGGACATACTGGGGACACACGGATATCTTAGCTGCTGCAACCTTTGGACTAGACCTCTGAGGACATGGAGGCACCATCTGGAGCTTTTAGTGACTCCCAACCTGCATTGTCCCAGTGTGTTTGGTCATGTGTGGATCCTCAGGGGCTGCATCATGCTGCAGCTTCCCCCTCCCCGCCAAGGGAGCTCCTCCCTGTCATCCTGCTCTTGTCTGTCTCATGTCCACCAGTAAGCAGGCCTCAAAGAGGTCTAAACAGTAGAGTCAATGCAAAGAGCAGTAGAGGGAGGGATTTATCCCTGTACCATGAATTCTCCATTGTCCACAGCCCCACAGGTCACTATGAACTGACCATGTATAAACTAGAGCGCTCCACTGTCCCCAGGCAGTGCTGTGTGTGTGGACTCTCTCAAGTTCAATTCAACCTAAAACCCTCAGAAAAACGTTTGCAACTGGACATTATGTTAATCATTTCTGGAGGCAGATGGTTTGGCATGTTGCTGGCTAATCTTGATGATGGTCGTCCTGATTGGGTTTAGAATTACCATGGAATCAAAGGTATCATGGGGAGTGTTGAGGCTAGGTTATTGATGTCTGGCTTTACATGGGCAGTGTGGACTAGGGTTATGGATAGAAAGGAGAAAGTAAGCTGAGCATGTTTGTCTCTCTACTTCCTGATTGTAGATGTGATCAACCACATCAAGTTCCTGCACCAAACCTTCCCCACCATGCCTGTCCCACCTTCATGGACTGTATCCCTGCAAACTGTAAGGAGGAAGCTGCTTCTTATCTGGGTTTTGTCACTAGCTCACTAATACAGTAGTAGAGTGTTTCTTTGCATGTGTAAAGCCCTGAGGTTAATCCACTGCCCCTCACACAAAAATAGAGTTGCTAAGGAAATGGCTCAGTGGAAAAGTGCTCATTAAGCAAGCCTAAGGACCTGAGTTCAGAGCCCCAGGATGCTGTAGGAACTGAGTGTGGTGGATGCACCACAAATCCCATGGGAGTTCCAAGTTCAAAAAGAGACCTAGTCTCAAAAACTAGGTGGAAGGCAGTTGAGACAGCTCAGTGATTAACGATGCTTACTGCTAACCCGGTGACCTGAACCCACATGGTTGGAGAAGAGAACTAACTTCTGCAAATTGTCTGCTGACGTTCTCACACACACACACACACACACAGAGAGAGAGAGAGAGAGAGAGAGAGAGAGAGAGAGAGAAAGGAATAATTTCTGTGGAAATTGCCACAAAGAAGCCTAAACAAGCTCCTAATGGTCAAACATCAAACACTTGAACAAAAAGACTAAATAACATCTGCTGTGGTCCACAGGAATCATGAAGTGAGATTTAGCTGATAGAAGGGTGCCCCCCCCAGAACGAATGCATTCTGATGGAGATAAACCCAGTTCGCAAGGCGCTGGTCCTACCACCTTTCGCATATAGGCTGATTCCTTCTGTAGATGTGTTGTGAAGCCATAAGCATTCACCCTTGGGGCAAGATTCAGCAGAGGATGGATTACTGGGCACAATTCTTTCCCATGTACTGATATATTGGGTCATCCCCCAACCACCCCATGAGACCTCCAGTGGGAAATTTAGTCACACAGTCAATAACCTTGGTTCCCTCAGTCTAATCTCTGCCTCATTCCCTGAGATACATTAATAGCCACCTTCTTGCCACCATCTTCCATTTGGCAGGATATGCACTCAGGAGAAGTCTTTTGTATCGATCACATTTGGGACCTTCAAAGATAAAGGGACATCCAAGGTTAGAGAATTGCCTGAGTTGTGTGTATATAAACTGGAAATTTTACAGAATAAAAAGAGAACAGTAGAAGAAGAATAAAGAAGCTGATGCAGAAAAGCTTGCAGTGAAGAGTTCATTTAGCCCTCAGCTCCAAGTCCTGTGCTTGCTGTGAGTCTTTTTCTGAACTATAACAGGGACACTGAGGCTGGCACTCAGCGGTCCCTGATAAACATCATATTGTAATATGGTTGTGAAATAATAAATGAATCCATGCTGGCGTGAACGGTTGGATGAGCAAATAAATAAATAGGAATGAAACATGGTGTTCTTCCAAAAGAAATCATTAGTATTTCTAGGAACTCCTCTGGGGAGGGAGTTTGCTTCCTTCAGATTTTCAGTGAGAGCACAGGTTTCCAAAGACAGCAGCAAGGTGTACTCAAGGCTGGCCCAGTCACTGAAGTGCTTGCTGTAATTGAATACTTCAGTTTCAATCTCCAGAACCCGTGAGGAAAGCCAGACACAATGGCGTACCCTGGAATCCCAGCCCTAGGGAGTCCACCACTGGAGATTTCTGACCTGCCAATCTAGCCAAATTAGAAAACTCCGGGTTCAGTAAACAATCCTGTCTCAAAAAATACAAGGTGGTCAATTGTTAAAAAGACCGAGTACCCACATGACCGCTAACAACCATCTGTCACTCCGGTTCCAGAGGATGTAACACTTTTCTCTGGCCTCCACAGGTGCTGTTCATAAATCATGCAGGCAAAATCTTCATGCACATAAAAGAGAAATAAATAAAATATCTGTTAAAAGCAGAAATATGTATATAAAATATGTATATATGTACACAAACACACACATGTATGCATACATATATACACACGCATTTTGATGTGGTGGAGTGGGACTGAAGGCACCTGATATTCTATCTCAGGTTACCATGTGAATACACATATGTATGCCATGTGTCCAGTTAAGACTACTATTGTTCATCCCGGAGTAGTTGTGCACACCTTTAATCGTAGCACTCAGAATACAGAAATAATTGGATGTCTGTGATTTCAAGGTCTGCATGTTCTACACAGTGAGTTCCAGCAAAGATGTGGCTACACAGAAAAAATGCTCTTGAAATGAAAATAGATAGATGGATAGATAGGTAGATAGATAGATAGATGATAGATAGGTAGGTAGATAGATAGATAGATAGATAGATAGATAGATAGATAGATAGATAGATAGATAGATCACTATGGTTGTGATAAAACACCATGAACAAAAGCTCATCGAGGAGGATAGGGTTTACTTGTTTTATACTTCCATATACCCATTCAACATTGAAGTTAGGACAGGAACTACAGCAAGTCCTGAGTATGGAGGCAGGCCTAATGCAGAGGCCATGAAGGAGAACTGCTTACTGATTTGTTTCCCAAGACTTGCTCAGTTTGGTTTTTTATAGAATCCATGACATCCTGCCAGGGATTACACCACTCACAATAGGCTGAACCATCCCCCACTGATCACTAATTAAGAAAATGCCTGGCCGGGGGCTGATGGTACAAACCTTTAATCCCAACATGTGGGAGGCAGGGACACAGCTATAAGTTCAAGGCCAGGCAAGTCTACAAAGAGAGTTCCAAGACAACCAGGGAACTGAACAGAGAAACCCTGTCTTGGGGGCGGGTTGAGGAGAGACAGTGGATGCCTTACCTGCATTCCTGAAGTCCACACATAGGGAGCATTTGTTTTTCTTTTTGTTATTTTTTTTTAATTCTGGGAGAGGATGATTTATTTCTTTATTATTTAATGGATTTTAACAGTGTTTACCTCCAGCTGTAGGGAAAGTTGAATTCACCACAGACACATACACACATACAAATATCACACACATACTACACACATATAGCACACACACATACTAGGTACATACTATATAATAAACACACACACCACACACATGCTACACACACAAACACACATCACAGATATGCACCATACACATACCACACAAATATACCACCTAGAATACCACACACACCACAAAAACATACATATTTGCTGGGCAGTGTTGGAGCTTGCCTTTAATCACAGCACTCAGGAGGCAGAGACAGACAGATTTCTGTGTGTTCAAGTCCAACCTGGTCTGCAAAGTGAGTTCCAGGACAGCAAGGCCTGTGTATAGAGACCCAATATCAAAACAAAGAATTACCAACAAGAACAAGAACAACAGAAAGAAGTTGAAGGATGACTACGACAGCAGGAGGACTTCAGGGTTAGAGTCTGATTCAGTGGAGCTGTGAAGCAACTGAAAGATGGGGGCAGGGACGGAAACAGTCAGAACAGGGGTCCCCATGTGGTCAGTGGTCTGTGATCTAGCCTTCCCTAGAAGTGACCCCTTGAGCTTGTAAATAAACGGAAAGTTCCCAGTGTGTTGGGGTGACAGAGACTTTACTCTGGAGGTCTGACCCTCTCCCTACTCATCATTTCCTTGGTCTTCACATGACATGTGACCTTAAGCAGAAGACTAGAAAAGGACCATGCTGAACCAGAGCCCTTTGTTGACCAGGATCTTACTCCCTTACCAAAACACACATCTCCCCTGACATGGCCCTAGGGAGTTTCAAGTTGGGTTTTGGGAGGGGGCTGGAGGACTCAGACCCATCCCCTCCCTGCCCTGTGAGCAGAGCAGGGCAGTTTAAAAAGGGGCCCGAGTTGGGTAGGAGCACCTGCTGCCATTATCATGAAGCTCACTGGTGCTCTTGTGTTGCTTGGGGCTGCCCTGCTCCTGACCTCGGGGGGAAGTGGGTCCTAGGGTGTGGATTTCAGAGATGCAGGGTCTCTCACACCCTCACTCCCCAGAAAGGACATCTGTGTTTGATGCAAGGCTTTCAAGGGAGGATCACTTTTTTTCTGTATTCTAGATTGTGGCATTTGCCCAGCTATAAGGAAGGAGATTGATCTTTTCCTTGGTCCCTCTGTGTCTGACTATGTGGATTACGTGAGCCAGTTTACGTGAGCCAGTACAGGAACAACTCTGACACATTGAAAAAATGCTGAAAATCTGAAGATATGTATCGATAACAAGCTGACAGCAGAAGACAAAGCAAATGCACAGAGTTTGGTGGTGAGTTCTCTGTGTGCCAACCTGCTCATCCCAGCTTAGGGATGGAGCATGCATTACTCCCCAGCACTGCAGCTCTTCTGTGAATACAGAAAGATGTCAGGAGGAAGGGGCAGAAAGGACACTGGCTGTTCAACTCAGTCAAGCCAGACCAGACCCCAGGATTCCTGCCCCCACAGTACCACCTGGTCTCCATAAGGCTTTCTGGCTCAGCCTCCCAAGTCTAGCTACATCAGTGCCTGGCAGCCCTTCTCCAGCTCGGAACTTCTAGCCTTACTTTTAAAGTCTACCACCACATCCCCAATAGATTCATTTTTTTCTTGTCCCCTGGATCTCTGAGGTCACTGTGTACAATCCAGCCCTGGATGTTCAGTTGCAGAATCTAATTGAATCCCCTCTTGTCACTGAAACTGGTGGGACTGTCACCTTCCTAGTTGCATGCCTCTGAGGTCATCATGTGACAGGAATCCGTTCATTGTGGGATCACAGTTGCCCACAGGCTCAACCTGGAGCCCCCCCAAGCCCTCCCCATCTGCTTCTCCATTCTGTTCCACATGTGCCTATGGTGTCCCAAGGGCAGGTGGCTCTTTCCATCAGGCTGGATTGAAGGCTGGTTACAAGGCTCGCCCTGATGTGGTTTGTTGGAGACAGAATGGAGAGGAGGCTCCCTGGGACAACTCAGACCCATGAGCTGTTGCAGACAGAGTGCAGGTCCCTCCCAAGTGGTGTCCTGTGTATGACTGCTGAGATCTCCTTCACCTCTGACGCTTTGTCGCCTTTCTCTTTGCAGGATAAAATAGACACTAATGATTTCTGTTGATGATTCGGTCTTCACCAGAAGATTCAAGGAAGCCACTTGCTGCTCACTTGCATAGATGCAGAAAGCCCTACCCCTACCCTCCAGGTGTCTAAAAACAGGATTCCAACAATAAAAGCCTTGCAATTCACAGGGGAGCCTGGACTGTTTGGATTTGAAGTTGGGCATTCAGTGGATTGGGACATGGCAGGGACAACCAATGGGACTTTGAACTGTCCCTGCTGAATTGCAACCCTGCCAAAATGCCCCTGCAGAACACATTAGCGGATGCTAGGAGACCACATTCACCACAGCCAGAGTGCCTGTCACTTTCATGGGCCATGGTCCATAAAGAACATACATGACATCCCTGAATGAACTCCCCCAGGTACATGGAGCAGTGAAGGGCCAGAGGGACCGAGGGTTTGCTGATGATCACACAGGTTCCTTTCAGCAAAATTTGTCCCTTCTTCCCTCTGCTGGGGTGATGGGCCAATTGTGTAGTGTACATATTTCACAGTACTTCTCTGAGCCTCTGTGTCCCAAATATAAAACCCGACCACTGTTGGAGAAAGGTCTACTTGTTTGTTCTGCTGCCCAGTTTCCGGCTGCTCTGCTAGTTTAGCCCTGAAATAACCACACAGAAACTGTATTCATTAAATCACTGCTTGGCCCATAAGCTCTAGCATCTTATTGGCTAACTCTTACATCTTAAATTAATCCATTTCTAGTAATCTGTGTATAGCCACTTGACAGTGGTTTACCAGAAAAGATTTAGCATGTCTGACTGTTGGGGCTTCATGGTGTCTCTCTGACTCTGCCCTTCTTTCTCCCAGCATTCTGTCCAGTTGTGCCTGCCTACCTAAGTTCTGCCCTATCACAGGCCAAGGGCCATTTCTTTATTTATTAACAAATACAAGCAAAACATAGACAGAAGGACCTCCCACACCATTTTCCCTTTTCTGTTTAAATGAAAAAGGAAGGTTTTAACTTAACAGTAAAATTGCATATAACAAAACAAGTATCAAGCAAGAATTAGAGTTACAATATTTATATCTACTTTATCTTTATTATAACTAAGGAAAAATATAACTGTAAATTCTTCAACTCCATCAAAGAGTCTTGAAGGATATAATATTACCTAAGTAAACCGGAAGTGCATTGCAAGCAAATTCCAAAATTCTAGAATTGACAGAGACATCTTGCTGCCTGGACAGTCACCCAAAGTTTTTTTGTATCTTTGGGGCATCCAATCATCAGCCCACAGGCCCATAGAACATAGCAGATTTTTCCATGAAGCCAGAAATTTCAAATACAGTTCTGTCTATATTGGCTGTTTGTCAGTCACTTTCTTCTGTATCCTGCAGAATGTCTCGCAGACCCTTTAATGAAGAAGGAACCCCAAAGGATCATCTTACCTTTAGGCAAGTTCAGCAGTCATTTCTCTGGAGGTACTTCATGTCCAGTTAAGCAGTCCAGGCAAAAGCAGTTTCTTGCCCAAATTGCTAATCAACTCCATAAGGAGCCTATTCAATGTCCTTCTTTCTCTAGAAGTAGATTGCTGCTGCCAGGAGCAGATGGGTCTCAATGTCATGAAAAGTCCTAAATTTTTAAAACATTTAAATGCTATATTTTGAAAGTCTCTGAGAAATTTGAAGAATACCTAACTAATGTATGTATATATATACACACATATATATATATATTCAAGAAAATCTAACCAACATGACTAAAAGCTTGACTATTATAGATGATTATCTATTAACCTATATTTTTTATACATTACATTTTTAGATGAACTACACAAACACAATACCTTAATAAAGAACAGAAACACATATAAGAAAATTGACCTTAAATTTGTATCACTAAAACAAGATTCATATAAATGCAAATTATTCTTATCTATATCATATTCCCCTTTAAATGTAAAGAAGCATTTTCAAACAATATTTGGGAATATGGGCAAAGTTCTATCCAAATTTCTTTCTGCCATTTATTGAGCCAAGTAATTTTTTGAGGGATGTATATTTGAGGGAGTGTTTAAGGCAACCTTTCGAGAGGTCTCAGTCTATAAAACTATATTGGTCTGGAAGCAATACACAAGTTCTCGTCTTCTGTGGAAACAAAAAAAAAATTCTTTTCCAAAGCACTATATCCTTAGACTCAAATTTTGAAGTCAAGATGCCTTTATAATATAACATGCTGGTTTAGCTTAGCAGTCCATACAATGAAATGTCTCTCTGTACTTAGCTTTTTCACAGTCAAAAAATTTGAAGAAAACACAATAATATACGTAATCCAGACTCTCTGTGAATTATCCATCTTTATGTGGCTTATTTTTCTTTACTCCTTTTAATCTATGACTGTCTGTACTCTTATTCATTAAAGAATGTTTTTACTTCTTTTTCATCTCTCTATACTTTTTCTTCTCTCTTCCAAGCCTATGTACATTTATCCACACTGTGACCCATTTAGAGTTTTTATGTCTGGATCTGTCCTTATTGTGTTATCTGTAATTCTCTACTGTCTTGAAGAGCTTTAAAAATAGTAATCAGCTTGTTTGCAGCTTCTCTGGATGCTGGCTCTGCCTCTCTCCACTTTGAAAATGGTAGAGGCTCTGGGGCAGCCATATAGAAACCCTTCTCAGAATTCCAACCCTGAGAATGAGCATGCAGCATTTAAACCATTTTTATCTGAGTAACCGCCAAATCTGCCATGCAGAGCACAGCACAGCCTGGAAATATCTCTGTGTATGGCAGTGGGAATTATCCATGCTCTCCTTTCTGTGCAAGCCTAGTAGACCTGATCCTGCCACCTGTCCAGGCAGGGAGCACCAAGCCATGGCCATGGTCTCAACCAAAGGAGCCATGCCTCTACCCAACTCTAGCAAACAAAGCCCACCCAAAAAAATGCTGCTACCAAACCATACTTATCTGTTTTTTTCTATTACTTTAAAAATACTACCAATCAAATTTCCCACTTCCTCTCCTCCTCCCACTTCCCTCCCACTCCCCACACACACCCTCCAGTCCTAAGAGAGGGCAAGACACCCTGCCCTGTGGGAAGTCCAAGACCCTTCCCACTACAGCCAAGCTGAGCAAGGTATGCATTCAAAGAGAATAGGATCCCAAAAAAGCCAGTACATGCAGCAGAGACAAACCCCAGTGCCATTGTCATTGGCCTCTCAGTCTGTCGCAACTGTAAACCACATGAAGAGGGACCTGTTTGATCCCATGCTCATTCATTCCCAGTCCACCTGAAGTTGGTGAGCTCCCATTTGCTCAGGCACACTGTCTCAGTGGCTGAAACCCTCGTGGTTCTGACTTCCTTGCTCATATTTTTCTGTCTTCCATTCTTCAGCTGGACCTTGGGAGCTCAGTCCAATCCTCTGATGTGGGCCTCTTTCTCTCCGTTGATTGCCAGATGAAGGTTCTACGGTAATATTCAAGATAGTCTTCAGTTGGACTATGGAACAAGTCCAGTTCAGGCACCCTCTCCTCTACTGCCCAGGGTCTTAGCTGTGATCATCCTGGTATACTTCTGGGAACCCCTTCAAAGACAAGCATCTTGACAACCCCAAAATAACTTCCTCAATTATGATATCTCCGTCCCTGCTCCCATATCCATCCTTCCTCCATCTCAAGCATCCCACTTCCCAATATCTCCCCAACCCTCCCCTTCTCTTCTTTTCCTCCCCTTCTCCCTTTCCCTATATCCCCCAACCCCCATGTTCCAAACTTTTTCCTGGTGATCTTGTCTGCTTCCAATTTCCAGGTGGATCTGTATATGTTTTTCTTTGGGTTCACCTTATTACTTAGCTTCTCTAGGATCATGAACTATATGATCAATGTCCTTTGATTATGGCTAGAATCAATTAATGAGTGAGTACATACTATATTCATATTTTGGGGTCTGGGTTATCTCACTCAGGATACTGTTTTCTACTTCCATCCATTTGCATGCATAATTCAAGATGCCATTGTTTTTTATCACTGAATAGTACTCTAATGTGTAGATGTGTCACACTTTCTTTATAAATTCTTCAGTTGAGGGACATCTAGGTTGTTTCCAGGTTCTGGCTATTACAAATAATGCT